TTTAAGATTTGGGATTACATTTTCAGAGACAGACTGAAATCTTGAATCTTGAGCATACTTGACGATATAAAGTCATTCCAAGTAAAATATTCCAAAAAAAAAAGCAAAATTCCTGTTCAGAAGAGAACACCACCTTTTGATCAGGTGCCATCTCTCTGTCAGACATATCTATAATTTTAACAACTGTTTTATTGCCATGTTTTGCAATGTTATGGCAATCCAGCAAGATTTGTGATATATTTCTTAGTAGTCTGCTTATTGGGATTGGGTGTTAGAATTTCAACACTTATTAATGAAACAAGTACTTTAGCCCTTAAAATCCCTGGAATCTGATAACTTGCCAATTGTATTGCAATATGTCAGTTCTTTTATAAAAAAACAAATAAACAAACAAAAAGATCTGAATGTTGAAAAGCAAAACAAATAATTTTAGATACATTTGCACTTATATGGTGATCTGCCAGCCATGCAACTCCAGGCTAGTGCTCCCAGCCTTTTAACAAAAGGCATTTCTGACAGAACGTTTTCCTTCCCTCATGCTACTCTTTAGACCTTGCAGGTCTGCTGTTTCTCCTTCTCCTCCTCAGCACCTAATGAGCAGAGATGCCCTGAAAACGCAGATGTCAAAGAGCCTGACACTGCCTATGATCCTTTCTGTGTGCTGTGACTCCTGTCCCTGCCTCCTGATGCACCTTACCTGTTGAGAAACAATGCCACAAAAATTCATCTGCCAGACAAATGGGACATGGCTGCACTACATGGCTGACTCTTGGCACTAGCACTGAAGGTTTCAAAGGCCAGATTCTACCATGAGTTTGATGCTAAGCCTGTCCTCAGTGGGCTCCTACCACCACCATCCCTGTGGAACTGTCTTCATTGGCATTACACTACTGGTTTACAGCTAGTCGCAAGCATCTTCACTTGTTATCCACACACGAAGAAAGAACTGAAATGCAGCAGTGCATCACTATAAGGAAACTTCAGAGGAAGATGAAACACAGAGGGACAGTGCTGGGGTTAGAAAGTGATGCAAGGGAAGGCAGGCAGCTTCTACACCCTGCAGAAGTGCTATAATGTCATTGAACACCGGGGGGCAACCAAACACCCAGCCTTCGGGGAAAAAAGTACTTGATCCTTAGAAAGAGAGCAGCCCCATTGCCTCTCCTCCTTGGAACAGACATAACCTTTGCTAATTATCCTTTTAAAAAGCAGTCCGTGTGTTAGAAATGGTCACAGATCTCTCTCCTTGAAAATAACAGGCAGGATCTGCTTATCTCAGTGTACTGTGCAATCCAGAGTAGAAAGCACTGAATTTTGTTTCCCCACTACTGCAAGTACTTATCTGGAGTGAGACAAGACAATACTCTCTGGTTTGATGTCTCTGCATGATGTGAGGTTGTTATCTTTAAAACACAGGTAAAATATTAATACATGGGAAGGTACAAGTTCATTTCCAAGAAGAAACTGTAGGAAATACAACTGATTAACAGCCCTTGCATACCTAAAGGAACAATATATGAAATTGAGTACACTGTAGAAGGCAACAGAATTACAAATCACTTTTCACAGTTTAGTCCTGGACAAGTGGCCCCTAACATTCGCTGCTTAAATAAACAAAGAAGGAGTGGCTAGGGAATAAGAAACAAACGCTAGAAACTTAAAGGGGAAAGGTTTTTTTAAAGATAGGTAATTTTTTATAGCTTTATCATGCCAAAAATAATTTGAAGACATTTTACACCAGATAATTCCACCCTTTTCCTCCATGAAGCAATCCCTCTACAGTTCAGAAATATCCAATGTCATCAATGCCACATCTTCTCTTTACACCATTCTCCCTACCTTTTTGACATGCTGCAGGGACTGGTACCAATTCATGGGCACCAGTGCTGAAGCTGTGAGTTCTGCCGAGGCAAAGACATTTATGATGCATCCTGACATGTGTAGTTTACCTGGAAGAAAACAGTTTCCCACAAAGCACCTGAGTTGCTTGTTTTCAAGGAAGTCAAAGAAACTTAATGAGACCACTGTGAAAGACAGAATGAGCACTAGAAAACAAAAACAAAAACAAAAACAAAACCAAAACCAACCCAGTTGTGATGTTATTAATACTGCAAGACCTCTAAATAAGAGAACTAAAACTTCCCTGAATTATTTGCTTGCATGACATTCATGCTTGTTAAATGGGAATCAGTGTCAGTCATTCATAAGAGAAAGAAAAAGGAAAGTCTGAGGAAGATAGGATGACAGACTTGTTTCCTGCCTCATTTCATTCAGCCATGATGAGTTCTGTCAAAGTGGGAGGGAAGGGGGCTGGTTATCTCAAGACATCTCATCTTCATCTAAACATAATGTTTGTGTAAACATGATATAGAGGAGATCCTTAGTTATTTGTTTTTATGTATATGGAAATAAAACCAGATGAGAAAGATCAGACTCAGGGTACATCTAACTTTGAAACTCACCATATTGCAATAAAAGCTGACATTAAGTACAATAACTGATCATGTTGAAAGCTCAAGTCCTGAACTGAAAGGACAGAAAAGGTGGAATGTCTTAACAGTACTGTTCTTCAATGCCTTTAACATTTTTAACATTTTAGCATTTCTATTGCTAAAATAAATACTTATTTTATACCTTCTCATGTATTAGTAACATTTTAGGTTGTTTTCAGTAACACCTCAAATACATTTTCAACTTCAGAACGAGCACAATAAAATTTTTCTGTTTTAAAAGCCGTTTTTCCAACTCTACATAGTTTTTTGTCTGTTTGCTATTTTTGATGAAGACCTGTTAAGAAAGATATTATTTTGAGGTCTTAGAAACAAGTAAAGGATGTTTTTGTAGAGAGATTTCCAAAGAAAAACTAACTCTATTCTGTTTTGTGTACTGTAGCACAGTGAAGTTTAAAAGGAAAGATCACAAGAACAATTATAATGGGAGTTCCTGAAAGAGCTTTCTCTGAACAAATTTGTAAATAAAAGCATTGCTATATGTGATGGTCTCATCTCTCTTCTCTCTGCAGTTTCACAACTCTTATTATGTTGCTACAGATCTACAGTAACTCCGTGGGCCTGCATCAATGCCAGCTTTCTCATTGTGTAACAGAGCAGAGATGGCACTGACCATTCAAATGTTCTGATGGTGTTAAACCACAAAGAAAATATTGACAAAGACAGAGGTAAACATTGCAAATTCCTTTTCCCAGCCTCACACTAGAATCGGAGCTTTACAGCCTCGGCTCTTGGAGCATAGGTTTACAAGGTGCTTCATCAGCTTTTCAAGATTTTCTCTTCCATGGGTGTGCCATGAGGGGGAATTCATGAAGAGCTACAAAAAGAAAGACATCATAAAATGTGGCTTTTTCATAAGGCAGGATGAAGGAGCTGTGAAGAAGGGTAAGGTTTGCCATGCACTGAGCCCTGTTTTGGGTCTACACTGGAGACAGAATCATCAACAAGAAGAGGTGGCTGAGGCTTGTTATAATTAATAAGAGTTTGCCTATGGGAAAATTGCTTTCCCTGAGAACAAATCACTCACGCTCCTCCTGAAAACATACAAAAAAAGGATGAAGTTGGTGCATCTCTGCAGAATGTAAGCATTTATTTGTGGTGTTGTCTGCTTGTATTATGCAGAGCTTCTAAGAGCTGATCAGCTCAACAGTGCATTTGACTGAACAGTGTGGATTACACATGTGCAACATTTGAAAAAAAAACCAAAGAAACATCATACCTGGCAACACTCTGCTTGTGTCACTGTTCATTAACAATATTGCATCAGCAGATGGCTCCATGTGGCTTAGCATGTAGCACAGCAAATGAATACAACAGTTTTCAGGACAGAGGCAGCACAGCATAAATACAGTGTATCACTTTCACCAACACAGGATTTTTAAAACTGTGGCAATATTATTTAAAAAACAATGAAGCTTCAGATGCAATTAAATACAAGTAAATTAATTTAAGTATTTGCTGTGCAATTATTCCTGATAGTGCTTGGCAGAACTGAATTTATTTACAATATTCTGTAAAGAGCAAACGCCATTTCACTCAAAGCTAGATGTGTGAAGGAAAATACAGAAAACAGAGATGCTACTTTAAGGTAAATACTGTCATATCCAGTGTCAAGATTTAAGTGGCTTACAACCGCTCATAAAGTTCTTATTTTGGCCAAGTTTATTTTTTCAGGTACAGTATCGAAGTCAAGAGGCCAGTTTTTTAAGAAGGAAGAAATGGAAGCTGTTACCTATAGATGGATTGTTTAGGTGCCTACATATGGTTTTGCAGAGCAGCCTTAGGCAGACTTTCATTACAAACTCAGTCAGTACTTTTATTTCATTCATACAGAAGCAGCAGTATCCAGTACAAAATAATTACCTTACAGTTATGCTTTTAAACAATAGGCTTCAGTCTTTTTTATATTCCAATCATCGTTCACACCCAAATCTGCTTTTGGCAGTACATGGGAATTAACTGATCCCATTTTACAGTACTAATAATCATGACACAATTGCACCTTGCATGGGCTCTGACACCTGTTTGATCCTCTTGCAGCTTTTGGCTACCAGAGGGAATATCCCCAAACTTAAGATACTTGAAAAACAAGATAAATAATGACTTTCTTCCTAACCCTGTCCATTTGTATTACTTCTTCAGTTTCTCATATACTTCACCTATTAACTTCCACAAATTGGTAATGAGGAGTTTCATAATGATTCCTCGTGAAGCGCATTGAGCATACACACCATCACGTGTAATGTGATAGCGTGTTAAGACACTGTTTGAAGTAAAAAAGCAGTCAAAATACAGAAGCTTTCAATCTGAGGCATTAGGCAACCAGTTTCATCAAGTCTCCATTTTGTAAAGCTCTGGAAATGCAAGCATTCCCAGCAGGTAAGAGAGGAGGACGTCCCAGCAGTATCAGCAGGGCAACAGCACCAGTGCTACTGACCCAGAATGAAAACAATCCCCTGGGAAGATTTTTTCCAATCGCTTCACACAGTCCTACTCCACATATCGAACACAAAAAGCAACAAAGAAGCAGCCGATCAGTGCCACTGTAGATGCCGAAATCACAGTGACCACGCTGCCAGCAACACCAACCAAGAGCCCCAGGCCCACACCAAGAATTATCTGGGCGAGCTGGACCATGCAGGTGAGAGCAGCACAGTCAATGCCCTTCCCTCGCCCATGCTCTCCAGCTTGTTCCCCATCCTGCAGCTTCAGGCTCTGCAAATAAGCACAAAACAAAACCCAGTGAAATTAGACAGCACCAACAACTTGCAGCTCTCAGCACTGTCATGTCCCCAGGTGCAGCAAGACAGGCCAATAGCCCTCTGCTTCTTTTATTTTTTTTCTGCTTGTCCCGCAGAAGTTAGGGAATTCAAACAGAGATTTTACAAGTGATAATGAGTTTCCCAAGCTCACCCTAAATTGTCCAGTTTCTCCCATCTCCAGTTTTTCCTCTATCCATTCTCTCAGGGGAAGAAATGAAACTTGGTCAGAAAAATTAGCCATTTCCTTGAAGTTCAGGTCTATTTGAGCTTGGCAAACTGACATATCACAGTACAGGACACCCCGTCATGGATAATTTAGCTCTAACTCCCATGGTTGAAGGAGAGCCTCAAAGGGATGTTAATATGAGTCATACTATGTCCCACATGTGTAGAGATCATAATTTGTTATAATGGAGCACTGTGCTCTGAAGTTATGCCTCAAAGCACATAAAAGAGTTCAGCACTAAAATCTAAACATAATGCTTTTATTGCTGGGGGAAAAAAAAGATCTGAAAATAAATGTTCAGACTAGGATTCTTCTACCTTACAGAAGACCATTATTAACTACTGATTATATCTGCTATGATATACACAGCAGAGAAAATATATTTATTTATTATATACAAGCATCTCATATATAAGTACCCTGCAAGGGTAGTTCGTCACTGGAACAGACTGATGAGGGGGGTTGTAGAGTCCCCATGCTTGGAAATATTCAAACCAGATTAGACATGACCCTGGCAACCTGCTCCAGGTGGCCCTGCTTGAGCAGTGGGGTTGGACTACATGATGTCTCGAGGTCCCTCCTAACTTCACCTGCTCTGTGATTCCCCCAAAGGAAGGAACTATTCTGTTTTGTTGGGAAATTATGTGATAGTTTACATATTTATCGTTCTTCTTGCATAGGCTGTTGAATGGAGAAGGTTGTATTGTAACAAACAAGATGCTGTACGCTAGCTGTGCTGCTGTCTTCTGGTATCCAAATGCCCTCAGCCATTAAGATGTTTTTTGCTTGTCACAAGACCTATTAAATTACCTTTGAGTTGTTACCACGCAAAGCTCTGTGCTTTGTACCAGTCAGTCTCTTCCTAATCCAGTACAAAATTGAATTTGGATCTTAAGGAACAGCAGCACAGGACAGGAGTTGAAATGGCAGCATTTTCAAACTCAGCATGTGATTTTGGTATATTGGATAGTGAGGAAAATGTCTGTGCTTTGTTCTGGAATGATACAGTCCTTTCATCTGAAGTATTTCCTATTTTAGACATCAATTTTTTGGAATGATACCTATTCTGCTGGGCTGTGCCCAGTGTTCCTATGTGCTAGTAGTTCTGACCACAATTATATGAATGTGTAAATGAATACAATCTTGCATTTGATATTTCCTCTTTATTTTTTGTATCTCGTACATTATAGAAGATTTGAAATAAACTTAATTCTGTTAATACCAGATCTAACACATGTCGTTTAACATCTGGCATAGCAAGTACCATACACCAAACAAGAAATAATCGGTTGTCTTACAAGTAATATTTGAATATATTAGCCTACTAAATATAAAGTCCATAAACACTTCAGCATCATTTATTTCACTTCTATCTTGGAAAAGCTCTGAATCAGAGCTAGACTATGATTTTGCCTTTACTCCCTCTCTGAGTTGGCTGGCCTGAGGTTTGGGTTGTGATCTCACCCTAAACTGGGTTCATTCCCTGTCTTTTGTTTTATCTTTCTAAAACTCTTCATCATGATCATTCTCTATTGGAAGGAACAGAGAAATTAATTGAAATATTAGGAATCAGATCTATGAAATATTTAAGCATATTGAGACATCTTCCTAGGATTCCAAAGAATAATTAAGAGTTTTCTTGTATTCATCATTCAGGTGGTGATGCTTAAAAGTTGTACAGAACAGTAGAACATGTTACCAAGGACTTGATCTAGCCTGTGCTGGTCTCAACTATGTTTCTATGTTGTTTTTCAATAGTTCAACATTTCCATTATTAATGTCTTCACATATCCCCAGATATAATGAGAACTTTTCCTAAGTTCTCCCAACTCTCCTTAATTCTTCTCGTTTCCAGCTCTCTCACTAACTTAAGAGACACTTGAGAGAACTTTTCCATTAAAGAGCTCAACCCTTTACAAGACATGAAGATCCTGCTGCGCCCAGTAACACGATACAAGGAATGCAAGCTTTTCCAGATTTTCCTTGGAAATAGGATTTCATGCTGTGAAGGACCAAAAACCAACCCCAGACATTTAGAGAGATCATGAGAATGTGGTATATAATTTAATACTGAACTATATAAAGCTGTTTGTATGTGAATTTCATATCTTTATTAGCTAACATTTTTTGTAAAACTTTGCAGTTAATTCTATCAGCCTTTACAGTGTGGTTATTAACCTTAGGAACTCAGAATACAAGTCCTCAGCTAATACAGCTGGAAAGAAGGGTATAACGAAGGTAGCACTTGAAGGCAACACAAAGTGGAGCCCTGTTACCTGCTTATCGCCTGAACACGTACTGTGATTGGCTTTGTTTCAGTTATGATGATAAATAATTATTTGTCTCACTGCAGGACCGTTTGGAGAGTCTGGAGCTGGGACCCTAACTCTCTCTGTCAGAAACCTTCCATTCATAACATGTATCTTCATAAATAGTTTGAAGTTAAAATTAAAAGCTGTTCACAAGTTCCATCCAGTTTTCTCCTAAAATAGACTGAACAGACCCAGACACATATAAACTTACCCTTCCTCAGACATTAAACTCACCTCTTCTTCCCTGTGGTACTCTGCAATGAGTTGGAATGGCACTGTGTACAGTGTGCTGGACATGATGCCAAAGAGGGAACATAGAGCCAGAGTGGAATAGACATTGGGAAACAAGCCAATTAATCCAGTACCCAATCCAAAAAGTAGATATCCAATGAAATAAAGTCCCTTTAATCCTATGTATGGCAGAAGGATGTTCTGCACATCTGTGAAAGAAAGTTAAAATGCTAATAAGGCTAAAACAAAACAGGTCACATTTCATCATGGAGTTCCTTTAAGGGGATTTATTTTGTAATATGCAATGAAGGAGAAAATCTTACTGATGTTGGAAGTTGTCTCAAATTATTGTAGGTATAAACTTGCCAAAAAATACTTGCTCTCTCTGGAGATAGTATTATTCTGGCATAGCCAACTCCAGAGAAGAAGTAGTTAACAACCATTCTGGAAGAACTGCGCTCATTGACAAACTCAGACATTTCCGCTGTTTGATTATAATGCAAACATTTGGCATCAACCTCTGTCTGAGCTGAGAAAGGCACTACAGAAACGCCTGCAGTTAAGCTCCAAAGGGGAAAATATTTCCCTCAAGCATCTTCTAGGTGCTCAGTTCAGCCCCCAAAATGCTACTCATTTGAGTTTTTGGATCACAAATAACTTTTTTAATCCTTGGTAAGAGCTATCATGAAAACTATCTGGGGAACTGTGCTAGCATATTCACACATAATTTTGGAGAGCAAGGTTCAAGTTTTTGGCAAGAACTTCTGCACTGTGAAAAAGTTATTTTATGAGGAATGCAGATGGGGAGAGGCCATCAGAGGGACTTTCGAAAACCTACAGCTACAGCACTGCTAGGTGAAGGAGCATCCCAGAATGATGCCCATGGCATCCGTTTTAGTCTGGCATTTAACTTCAGGATGATTTTCAGTGTTCAGGATCAGTTCACATGCAGAACAATGCCTTTCTCCCAATGTGACCCCTCATCACATGGTCAGGAACTCTTCATGTTTAGATACACGTTTCTAACAATGCTGAGAATGTAACATTTCTTAAAGTTTTAACGTGGAAAAGTCCCAGTTAATTTGGCATTGCTTTATTTTTTTTAAACAGCAGTAAATAGCAAACAGTTTAAACACTGTTTCAAAATACAGTGTTGGAGTACATCCTTTGGTACTTACACGAATAGACTGATGAAGAAATTGCATTGATACACAGTCCCCAGCATCCCACCTCTACCCCTGTTCTGTAGGTGAGGTAAAGCGTGGAGTTATGAGGTGCATAAGGACTACCCTGGTATACAACCTGAAAGAGACCACAAAGATCACAGAAGGCAAGGAGGGACTGCGTGTATATAACACCTCCTTCTTACGGGAACAGGGTACCCAACCCAGGGGTTAGTCATCCCTGGTAAGGGAGATAATGAGCACTCAAGAAATCTTGTAATCGGCACCCTAACCATCCCTTCACAGTTCTCCAGATTTCATAGTCAATTCTCCCAGACTCTCACACCCCAGGCTCCTCCTTATTACTAACCCTCTGCCTCTGCCTGACCAGTCCACTCTCCATTGACTCATTTACTCTTTTTCATTTGAGTGTCTTATTTCCCCCTGCCTTCTCTCTCCACTTCTGCCTTCTTGCCTTAGCATTTCTTTACCTAATTTATCAACAGTTATTTTTTTTGTTTTCTCTTTCAGGCTTACCACAACACACTAATTTTCCCACCCAGTAATTGTCTTATTCATTGTTATAATTGTTCCTTACCTATACAAGCAAAACTTTTTCTTTCAGTTGCTTACATACACTGCAGGAAACAAAAACTCCCTCTCTCTTACACAGACAAAAAAGGGCAAGGAACTGGGAACACTGAGTGGAAACGACAGACAAAAAGGAAGTGGCAATGAGAGGATTTGTGCCAGGAGCATATTTGCACCCAGTGAGAAAGGAGACAGACAGGATCGTGTAGGCAAGAATCACTGGCAGGGACATAAAGTCTTTTTGCCTGGGAATGGCACGGAAAAGGGAGCACAGGGTATCACAAAGGCAAATAATTACTGGCAGAAAGGACTCAGAGAAAGGTTTAAAGATGTATGGCAGGGACAGCCAAATTCGATGAGAAAAGAGCTTTCAGCTACCAACTAGCTCCCTGGGTGCAAAGAACTGCAGAGCCTGAGGCCAGAGGGGCTTGTGCCGATGGTGCCCACACACCAGAATAAGGCCAGCTGCCTCCAAGCAACATCAGCATTTCTTTAGCCAGGAAACCTGCCCATCTTGGGGCAGCTCTGAAGCCAAAGCAGAGAATGGATGTATTTGGAACAGCTCCAAGAGCTTCATTTGGAACAGTTAAATAGACACAAATGGCCTTACAAATACTAAAAGGTTTTCCCCAAAGATCCAACAGACGGGCTCAGAGCGAGGGCTGAGAGCAATTAGCTCTTTTACAAAACTCTTGTTGAGCCACCCAGATGCAACTGGCTCTGCCAGCACTGTCATTTCTTCAGAATTATAACATTGTTTTGTTTCTTTTTGGTGGAGGAGGAGATGCTATGAGGAAAGAAAAGCAAAAGGATTTTATGCGTTTACCTGTCCCATGAAATCCGTGAAGAAGAGCATGTTGGACAAGAAAGCCATCCATCCAAAGAGGTGGCTCACACACAGATAGCGATAGTGGGATGGCATGCTTAAAAGAGTCTTCAAGAGTGATTTAAGGGTCATCTGCCTTTGTTCCTAAAAGCAAGTATTTAACAATAATACTGTATTATTGCCCCGAAGGCTGATGAAACAGCTGACAGCAAATGAAGAAGGTCTCGGCGTCTTTCACTGCTAAACTTCAAAAATCTTCTATTTTTTGCTAGGAAAGGTTGCTTGCATACTGAATGTCATTCAGTACATATTTGAGTTGTAGAGCCATTGCCTAATAAAGTAATCTGAAAGATTCACAGAAACTCTGGGAGAGCTGGGATATATCAGCAAGGATGTAACCTTTCTTCCTGTTATAATCAGTATGATTATTATTTTCTTGTAGAACCAAGTGAAAATTTTCTGCCAAAACAGATTCAGTGGAGTTAAAAAAAACCCAAAAAACAAAAAAAAACCCCAACCAAACACAAAAACCCCACAAAAACAGGAACAAAAGCATTTTCCTTATGGAGACAATCAGCTCTAAACTGAAAATGTAAAGCTACCATGGAAAAAATGAAACTCAAAATGCTTCCCGAGAATTAAAATGTATCAGTTGTGGAATACGGCACTTCTGAGGTCTCATCACCATTCCCTTCTATGTGCTAAATTCCCTAGAAAACTTCACCTCTTCTGGCATATAATGAGATTTCCACTATGTGCTGTCCTCCTCTCCTTGAAGCAAGGAGAAACTGTGATACGTCACAGGAGATGCAGTACCACTGAAAATCCTAGCACCCAGAGAACATGAGCTCCAGCACCTGAACACTTCATCCTATAGGAGAAATAACTGTTTTCAAAATCAAAATGTTATTGGTGCTGGTTAACAAAACTCAGTGATGGGGAAAAACTAAATTTCCCACCACCTTCCATGCCCCACCTTTTTTTCCTCCTTGTCTGAGCCATGTGCCCAAAAACACTCTCTCAGTTTCTTTTCCAGTTACATTCATCAGAGCACTTCTATCACTTGAATTCTTTTTAGTACTGTAGGTATGCTTTATGTCAGGCATTTGTGACACACAGTTCTTACTGCTTTAAAGCTCCTGCACAATTATATATGTTTATTACCGGCAAGTTGAATTTTGTCTTCAATTTTCTGTAAGATAATTATATTTTCCCCTTCCTTCAATGTTCTGCTTATTTTCCACAATTCTGTTTCCCTTTGAACTAGGTTATGCTGCAAGCTACTCTATGAATAACCATCACATATAAAGTTGGAAAATACTTTGCTCCAGTGGGAGGTTTTTAATCCTCATAGGAATGCCAAAATTCAAGTTGCTGACTTCCACCTTGAACTGCGTATTGTCCAAATCCCTTGGAATTTCTCTTGGCATCACTGTCTCTTTTTAATGGGGTAAGCTTTCTATTCTTCTACAGTTACAAAAAACATTTTAAAAAATTACACATTGACTCATTAGTGTTATTTCAAGGATAATTACTATCATTGATTTGGCTTAATTCCTTTGTTCAACTCTTCCACACAGTTCTTTAAAACAGCCTTTCCAATCACAGTGTTAACATAAGGTCAGGGAACTACAAAGGACACTGCTGTAATAATTACAAATAAATTGACAGCTGGATAAAAATGCTTGCTTTCTATTTACATATTTTAGAGAGTGGAAATGGAAACTTAAATGTTTAATGCACACATTCAATACACACCAACACACAAACCCCACACTAGTTAAATGACATGTTGAAGTTTGGTTCCATTTAAGTGCCTTATCCTTCAAAAGCTCACAATATCCAAACATTTTCTCTGTAAAATCACTACAACTCAAGGCTTAAGGGAATTCATAAGGATAGAGACGAATCAATATGACAGGTTTCATGGCAGTAGATACTGAGTAATTTGGCACCAAACCAAAGAACAAAAGACGAATCACTTTGGATGTCTGTTCATACTGTAACAGGTCAAATTTCATTAATAACCTTGGTAGCTATTAGTGTGTAAGAGCACAGTCATTAATTTAGAAGATGAAGAGCCATGATGCCTGCAGCAAAAAAAGAGACACAGAAAAACAGGAAGCCAAACCATTTCTTCAAGGAAACAATTAGAGTAATGAATGAACTCAGAAAACATGCACCACAAGAGATAGACCATTGAGACAGTAAGTGTCTAGAATTTATACATGCCCAGGCACATCAAAGGAACATGAGGCAGATCAAAGCACTGTGGGTCTCTGACAGGCTGTCTGGCTAAAACCAGAGAGGAGGACAATGGCTCAAGCGTGCCCACAGTGGATGCCAGAGCTTTACTTCGGGTGTCAGACGTTCCTGATTCAGTGGAACTTGTTCTTGCCAAGGTAGAGGTGACTCCTATCCACAGTCTGCTCCCCTCGCTTTCACTGCATCTGCTCTCTCTTCTTCATTTACCTTCCTCTCTTTAGAGCCCAAGCAGCCAGTGACACTCAGCATCTCTGACAATGTGGAGGATGCTCAGGGTACACAGGGCTGGTGAAAGATGCTAGCTGCTCAAGCTGGCCTGTGGTGGGGAATCGGGGACAGCATTGCAGTGGGATAGCCATATTCTCATGACAAACTGTTGCTTGCTGTCTGTCTCTGTGTTTGCCTGGCATTCTCATCAGGCAGTGTTCATCTTTTATTCTACCTTTGTGTTGTATCTTGTGTAGTAATTTTTTGGGGGGGTTGGAGATACTGAGTGCTCTTATAATGCAAATGATAAATAGTGAAAGATAATAAGTTCCTTTTATTTGTAGCTTAAACATGAATGTAGGTTTCTAACTTATAACCATGTGCACATACTCAGTATTTTTTACCTGATTTATCAAGACCTATACGAAGGATAGATATACATAACATCAAGAGATCAGAAGTGAAATTAAAACAACAAGCAACTATTTCCTCACTTATTGTTATACTAGGAGCCAAACATATACGTTATTCTTTGCTTACCTAGGCTACCATGAGAGTGCGGTGAGGATTCCTAGCACTAAAAGTCACCAACAAAACAGTAAAAGCTATTATCTGTTCCTAAGACCATTCTACAGATGTGCTCTCCAGATATTTTTCAGGTAGGTTCACCTTTTCCTAGTTGCCTTAGACCGAAGCAATCTCTCACAAAAATGCAGCAGAAACAAAATAACAGTGATGATTTGAAAGTACTCGCTGTTGTCTCCCACCTAAGAGTTCTGCCAGACACAGATACACCATCACAAAATAAAATTAAAATTCCATAAGTGAGGTAGCGTTGCTGTAGAAGTAGCAATTTTAAACACATCAGTACTGTCAATAAATCCTCAGTGAAATGTTGAGCAGCAGCAAACCCAAACGTTTACTAGACCAGGGAACAAACACTTTGCATGTACTATGTATGAAAGTGTGGGGACATGAGTGGGAGTTACAGATTCATATCAAAGATTAATGGTCTGTAGTCTTTGTCTACAATGTGATGTTAATTCTGTCGGACTAAATGACAAAGTATATCCTCTTGACAAAATTCACATGAGGAAGATATCAAGAGACTGACACAGTGCAGAAACCTGAACCTCCTTCTCCCTCATACCTGCCAATTGTTCGAAGCATCAGGACTAGTCTGTCTCATCCCTTTTGCTGGAAGTACTTCATGAATAAAAAAAAAAGAGAGAGAGAGAGAAAAGCAGGCTTTCTGCTGAGTGTGTATCCTGGTGGAGGACTCATTTTCTGTCTGTGTGAAAGGGCTCCATTCCAAATAGTCAGCATTAGCTAATTAAAGGGTCTCCAAGGATGGAACAAAAAAATCATCTCTGCACTTACCTCTGCACGTGACGTAACAGCACATTCTCCTGGTTTAGCTGCAGCCTTTATTTCAGTATATGTGGATTTTAAGCAACCATTCTTGATTTCCTCCTCTATGGAGCTATATTTATAGGATTCAGTCACTTCCAACAAGAACTTTGTCTCTTCATCTTCGTAACTGAGTGGGACTTCAGGAATACTGCGCAGATGTACAGTAAGGCAGATTAGGAAAACAAAGGCTGCGAAGAAGAAAATCACCTGGAATTCCGATGGCAAGGAATATCCTAATACAGTCTGACCCCAATCCACAGCACCTGTCAGGTAACCCAGGGCTCCTCCCAAACCTACGGGCACGGGAAAAAAGGAGAGAAAAAAAATCTACTGGCATTGATAAAATAAGCAAACAGTACACAAAACCCTCAACATGTGATCCCCTCTAGAAATGACTAAATAATCACTCTTCAGATATTAATCACAAGGAATGGGAATACTGAGCTAATCACACACATAAGCAGTTTACCAAAACTTCTCTTGAAAAATATCCTCATCTCTGGTGGACAGAGCTCTCAAAAAAAATGCCTGAAAATATATCAATGTGACCATTTGAGGCTTTATTTTCTTTGCAACAGTGAATAAATACAAAATAAAATTCTACTGATATTTATAACTTTTTTGAAGCTCCACAAAACAATTTTTTAATTATATTGACTACTTATAGTTTTGACTTTGTAAAATGTATTTTGTACAGCTGAATCTAAACAGAAATACCGTCTCCATGTGAAATTTTGAAAAAGGAAATAAAACCAAAAGCATTGTTTTGTAATTATCAAAATCCAAGTACGTCACCACTTGGAAAAGAAAACAAAATGGATCAAATACAAATGTGTAACTCTGTTTATGGATTTTCTCAGAAAAGTTAGAATAAAAGGTAAAATGATAATGTTGCTTTGTGTCCTGAAGTGAATAAAACCAGCATTCAGTCCATTTTTATTACATTTTCTTATTTTTGTTATTAGTGCACACAGTTGCAGCAGCACAAGCGAATGCACACTGTTACATACAGTGCAGAGCTCTGGTAGGGGAAGCAGCATTGTGGGGTCCTGACACCTTGTCAACCAGCTGGCTCTGTGGGACGTGGGAGTCAAGGAGGGTAGAAGCATTTGAAGGACTTGGAAGTATTTCTACTCTTCTGCTTAGGAGCAGACAATGTATGGCAGAACCATTACTTCTAACAGAAAGTAACAGTAACAGGACTTAAATTTGCTCTGTACTTTTTTCCCTCTTGGGTCTGATTATGCCTCTCCTTCATTGTATCCTACTGAATTTTACAGGTGACTGTATCCTTGCTTGTTCTTAAATGTTTACACAGAGTGAATGTTTGCTGTTTGAGGTTGTCTTTGTATATGTTTTGACAAAAAGTAATCATGACATTGGAATGCAGTTTGAGTGTTGTGTGTTGGTTATGTGTACTCTTCCTTCTACTTGTTCAGTGATTCTAAGTTTTGTAACCGCAAAGCTATTGAGTTTTATGTTCAAACCTTAACCTGAAGGCAAACTGGTGAGCAAAATCTTGGAGATATCTAGCATAAAGAGAAGAAACTAAATAGGGGAAACAAAATAATATCTAAAATAGAAGCTAGAAAAGAAATGGGAAGTTTGCTGTCTGTGTCTAATATGGATAGAACAAGAAATGATAATGTAAAATGTAGGGAATGGATATTAAGATCAGATTTTAGGAAAAACTCTCTAACAAGGCCAATGAAGTGCTGGAACAGACTGCTTAGGGAGGGCTGCAGAACACCTATCAAGGGAAGATTTCAAGAACAGGTTAGGTAATTACCCATAAGGAAGGGTTAAGATACTGATGATCTCACTATAGAGGGCACAGGGTGCTGGACCAAATAATGCAGAGAAATCTCTTCCAGTCTTACTTGATGTGATTTGTCCCATATCCCTTTTCACAGCTCAGTACACAAACGAATCACCTAAATTTGTAGCTCCAAATTTGGAAATCAAGCTTTTTTAGTATCATCCAAGGAAAAACTGCAACCAGAGTTCTGCTGGAGGCAAGACTATTCGTAGAGACTCACTCCCCTCTCTGTCCAAACAAGTTATTATTAAAAATGTTATCTGTCAGTTTCTAATGGATAGTATTGATTTAATTCCCATGTGGCTTTAAGGTTCCCTTGTAATCTGTGTTCCTAGACACAGCTGTTTCCTATGTCCAAAATCAGCCTGTTGTCAACAGCTACTACATCTCTCTCCTTGACTAGAGTAACAGCCACTGAATCTACATGCCTCTGCTCTTGGTACAGCTCACTAGCCACAAAAATCTGCATCAACACAGATTGCATGACTTCTCATCTAGTTTGCTTTTTGTCTAGTCTTTCCACAGTGACTGCTCTCAGACACAGCTGGAAGCTCCTCCCGATTCACATTACAGGTACACAGCCTTTTGTGTCTTCCCTGTGCATTTTCCCAACACAGGGCTTGCATTGTACAGGTTTCCTTCTGTACAGGTTTCCTTCCGTAACTCAGCAAAATTACAAACATGCATAAAGGTAAATGAAGTTCCTACTTCATTTGCAAGAGCCTGTACTGAACCATGGACTTATTTTGTGGATGTTGTGAAGCTCTGAATTTTTTACAGAACTCCTATTTCTACACAGGAAGGCAGCACATATTGGAGCACTGCTGAAGAATGGACATCAATTGTACTGGTTTGTGCAGCTCTTGTTCTATGTCACATGCTGGGTCAAAAATGTCATTTTTGTATGCTATGGCAAGGAAGCGAGTTACATCCCTTAATTTTTGCTTCATCAAGAACTTGAAAAAAATCAGAAGGAGCCAAATAAACACTACTTCACTTTTTAAAAATAATTAATTGCTAGTCCTTAAATAATGGCTATGTTGCTGTAAATCTTTATGCCTGCAGCATTCTGCAGCAGAATTCTTGTAGCAGCAATCACAAGCTGCTGTTCTCTGGAGTAGTGAAAACCCAGCAACAAAAGACTCGTGACTGAAGTGTGGGATCAGATGATCAGTTCATTCAAGATTAGAAACACAGTGAGAATAAAATCCATGCAATTACCTTCCCCTCCTTCAAGAGGTAGGGAGGAAAAGAAGGGATCTGAGTACCTGTAAAGAGGGCGTGGTAATGCAGACCCTTCTCTTTATCCTGATGAGAGCAGACATCAAATAAATACGCTTTGATGGGGCCATCAATAAAATCAGCTGCAAAATCAAAAAGCACTACTCCCAGCATGGTAATGACTATTGCCCATGTCCGCTGCTTGTTTCTCTCACCGATGAAAGCTACAAAAAGAAAAACACCCTGACAGCAACAGTGCCATGTCCTGAAAAACCACATTTTATCTTTCCCAATACCTCCGAATCCAAACAATGTTTAGTTATGTAAGAGAGAGCACGGATACCAGAATCACAGCAGAGAAGCAGGATAACAGTGTCTGTGTAGTGCTGAGCTGTGCTAGGTTGACTTGAGTCAGCACAAGCTCAGGGTACTCCAAGCTCCACAACCAAGAGCATCACTAGCCTTAATCTACCCCTTTGCACCTCCACGGCATGCCCTGGTAGCCTAACACATATGCATTTTGTAGTACTTCTTTGTTTTATTCTCTTTGTCTCACCCTTCCATTGTTTTAGAAAATCAGGAGTTGACTGTAACGTCTCTTTTGGGGCCAATGAGTACAAGTATATTCAACACCAACGATATCCAGAAAGACAGAATAAATCAGTCCATAAAAACACATGCTTCCCCCCTCTGCCAAGTCATAATGGCAGCAACAACTTTCCATCAGGACTTTGAGAAGTTACATCTCAAGCTGAAATATACCAGTATCTAAAGATGTCACTCCTATTTGATTTTGCACATTCCAGGTGAAACACTGTTTCCAAGGAGTTGCCAATTTCTATTATTCACCAGCATAACACATTCCAGAGACAAGCCAGTGCTGCAGTAATTAAAGATATGTATTTCAAATACTAATCCATCTAAAATAGCGATTAACAGATATTCAGTTTTGATGTGTATCACATCACAAAACCAAAATTGATCTTTTATCTTAACAAGGTAGATTTTAGTTCTTAAAAACTTCTCTGGGCCTAAGCAGTGTTTTACTTGTATGAACTGATTCAGGCAACCACACCAACACATAACATACCGTAATCACATGCACAAATTACAGAACACGATGTACAGGATACATAACATGCAGCGTTAGGATGGAAACTATACAAAGATTTCAGTGTTCCCAAGCTCCCTCCATGCAGCCAGGCAACACGCTACCCGATTTTAACTGTTCATTTTCATAGGGAAAAAAGGAACCCCTCTTTTCTTTTTCATTCAAAAATTTGTCTGTCAGCACAGCACGTGCCCCTCACTCACCTGAGACCATCACGTCCCCATTGAGGTACAAAGCCATGCCTAACAGCATCACGATGCCCAAACCCAGGATGTAAGGTCGCCTCCTGCCCCAGCGACAGCTGCAGTGATCGCTGGCCGAACCTACCACAGGCTGCAGCACGAAGCCCAGGATGGGGCTGATGAGCCACACCAGGCTGTAGAGGCTCTTGGGCAGCCCTACACTGAGCAGCACTGGCGTGACAAAGGCGGCCTCCACGGCATAGCAGAACTCCCGGCCAAACATCGCCATGCTGTGCATGACCAGCCTTCCCACCGCTCGCTTCCTTGGCACCACTGCTCCTGTCCTCATCGCAGATTGCAGCAGAACCTCCCGCTTCTCTCTGGTGTTGGCCATGTCAGCCCTGGCCACCTCAGAAGAGGGTGGAAGAGCCCCGTGGAAACTCTCTTTCATTAAGGTCATCGCTTTGGCTATGTGCAGCACTCTGGCAAGTTGGTGCTGCCTGTCCTGGCTGACATGGAGCCCAGATCATATGCCGGGTGGGATCGGTCTGTGCTGGGGGAGGGACTCACATACTTTCACGGCTCTGCGATCACAAGTTATGAAAGGAAGGGGGCGGGGAAGCGTGTGTTAACATTAGCAGATCTGAGCTCTTCCAGCTACCCAGAAGTAAAGAATTACTGTTCAATCACGAAACACACATAGAATGGGAACACACACTGCACGGGTGAGGTACCAGATTAGCCTGACACAAAGCTGTTCCTCTTGTTGGGGGAAGACAGCAGCACTACCAAAAATCTAGATCCCTCATCTTTCTGTTGAGTAAACAGCATGAACACCAGAGTGCCAATCTCCTGTTGATCAAACAGGGGAGAAAAATCTGTAATATGTATCCAGAAAAAGACTTCAATGCACTTAATGAAGATAAGTGAAGCTACATATTGCCCTAGAGTCAGTAGGCAGATAAAAATCTTGACAGAAGCCTCTCAACCAGCAACTGGTGAATATTTTTTTGTATCTGCTGTGTGCCACCCTTAATACAACTGATTATTCCCTGGGTTTCTGAAGAACAAAGGACATCAGGATCTCTTAGGGTTTTTTTAGAAGTCTTGCCTGACAAGAAAAGGCCTTAAAATAAATCTGTAGTAACAGACCAAACTGTACCTTTCAGGTTAGCCCTGAGTGAGGCAGCTGGTCCAACCTATGCTGAAGTTAACCTGAATTTTTAAATTGACCAGTGATTTTGGGGTCAAAACTTATGTGCACTGGAGATCACATTTTATGAAGTTTATTGTTCTCCAACATGGTCAGATGCATCTGGGACTAAGCACATTGTCAAATCTTACTGAAAAAGTGTATAATATTCAGTAATTTACATTACAGTGATTATCAGCTGTGTACTTCAGATGCTTTTGCTGATTGTTGATCTAATTTGTCAGGACCTACGAGATAATTAATACTTCCAGACAGGTTTTTATGTAGTAGAATGTAACAGGTTTTTTTAACAGTAATAATTCTGACTTTTTGGCATGACACATGTAAAAGGAGCTAAAGTGCATCTCAGCTCTGGAAGCCTTGTAAGCAACAAACCAAACATCAGCAAGGTAAACCCCCTGATAAAATTATCAAAAAACCCAACTCTTCATATCGTAATTCCTGACATGTCAGACTAAAGAAAACTGTATTATGGCCAATAAAACCAATCCTTTTTAAAAGCATATTTCCTTTTCCTTGAAGGAGATTGTTTCAAATGATGGTTTAATTCTGAAGGAAATGAAAACCACCGCGGAATAACCATTGTTTCAAATCTGTGCAGCTAAGTTGACTAACATTTTTCCAAAAAGAGAGGAAAGGATTAATACATGGCGGCTATTTTAAAATAACAAATTTCATTCTGAAGTGATCTTCTAGGCAAACTGAAATTCCCAGTGTAACATAATCAGGAGACTACATTAAGAAATATAGCCAGCTATTAAAGAGAATTACTTCATGATAATAATAATACAGCAGCATATAAGAGAATAGCATTATTTCAATCGTTTTGGCACAAAAAGGCAAATGAATTAATATGACAAAATAGAGGGAAAATCCCTTCTAACCCAGGAGTAAACAACACAAACACTTGTTTAGGAAGAATATATTTTATGAAAAGTATTTTCTTCATGTAATTACAACATATATTACAAAGCAACAGTGTAACTAAGAATTAAAAGAAACAAACATTTCACAGGATACACTATTCAAAGAAACATTTCGAGGATTTACAGCTGGTTACTAAGCAAGCTGTGTAGATCTTCAGAACATACTTTTGGTATCACTCTAGACTGCAGACCATCCAGGTACACAAGTACACAACTCCCATTGTTTTCAATTAAATTTAAAACTTCAATAATTAAAAAAAAAATTTAAAAGCAGTATCATGAAAACATTTATTTGTGATATAATTCAATATTAATGCATAAAACATTATGGTATCACCCTGAAATCTGCTTGATCTGCATAGTTAGAGATTATAAATTAGCTTTTGGTTTACTGAATTCTATTACATTATCAGAATAAAGTTTATCAATCTCTTGCTTAGTAAATCCATATTCTAGAAGTATCTCTTCTGTGTGTTCTCCTATAAAAGGATCTCTTTTAAACGATGGAACAGCAGGGGTCCTTGATAGAAGAGGAGCAGGTCTAGGACTTATCTCTTCCTGATCATTTTTGATAAAAGAACTTCTTTGTTTGTTATGCTGATGTGAGGCAACATCATCAAAGGATAAAACAGGGGTCACACAGGCGTCAGTACCATCAAATATGCTGCACCACTCAGCTTGTGTCTTCTGTGCAAATACGGATGCAAATTTTTTCTTCATTCCAGGCCAGTCGGAGAAACTCAACTGACTGGGAAGTTTATCTGAATCTAGCCCAAGACCTGAAAGATGAAAAACAAAATTAATCTCTAGGGTAGCTTAGATAAATTACCAAGTGCTGCCCACAACTAAGTATGTTCCTCAAGAAGTTAGTATTTTCCAGGCAGTCCACCACATCAGAGCATACTAAATAAAAGTCGCTTCAAACTTCACTAGTACATCTATGAGGGGGAGGGAGCAGAAGAAGAAAGTGTTCTACTACTTATAATTGGACTAAACCACATAGCTACAGCCTTTTAACTAAGTACATAAACACTCATTTATAGAGAGCAGCAGCTGCGTAGAGATAACATTTTGTCCTGAGAACATTTTTGTCCTGAGAACATTTTCTGTATTAGGTCTTGTATTCATTACCTGGCAGTAGCAACACAAAAGTCTGCTGAATGGGTCCTGGACTACAGCAATGTACTTATCCCATAGAAGCCAGTACATCTGCCAGAGCTGGCCATTCAGCAGGCTGCAGTGTTTGAAGTCCAACAGGACTGCGTTCTTTCAATGCCAGAGATGAGAAGATGGTGTAGATGTAGATGGTATAAATATACCCAGGCTCAATGTGCATGAGGTAGCTCAGCTGCAGGTGCCTGCAGGCTAACTGACCTACCTCTCCGCTCCCTCAGTCCAAATGGACTCCAGTGGTGTTTGCTGCTCTCCCATCCTCAGCACACTTCCCAGGTTCCAACTCTCCACTGCTGCTCTTTCAGAAAAGTAAAACCCACAGCCCTGTCACTCAAGAACCTTGCTTCCCAGGTCAGTCATGTGGACCACCTAGGTATGCAATACACATATCCCTTTGGAGACACAAGAGCAGAAGATGGACACACAGGCTTTGAACTGAAAATGTCCTGAACTAGTCAAGTCCTAAGTTCTTCCCTTAACTAAGCACCACCTTCCCTCTCACTGGGGAGTTTACATCTCTCCTGTGTGGCCAGCTTCCCATCTCTGTTTCTGTTCTCAAGGATTCTGCTCTCTGCACTCCCTACCCTTTCATTCTCCTACTTCAAGAAGGTGCAAGAATTGTTATCATTTGTTGTAGGATTTGCCTCAAAAAGGAGGTAAGAAACAAGAAAGAGAAAAAGCAATTAAACCACACTTTCAAAATGGAGATAGTACAAACAGAGGCACACACAGAGTCTATGATATCAAATTCAAATCAGAAGTGACATCTTGAAGGCTGTCCAAACAGTAACATCTTGACATTCAGGAGCATGAACAGAACAGGGAAAATTCAGAAAACCAGGGATAAGAAAGAAGTTAATTTGAGAAATTAGAAAGGCTATCATCACAATGCCTCACAAACAAAAAAATGGAACAGCTTAGAAAACAAAAGCTCTATATAAGAGGCAGAGAATATGTGGAGTTCTGCAAACATTTAATTTCGAGCATTCTTTCTTATATCTTTGGATATCTGGCATCAGAATGATGATTTGACTTGCAACTGTTAACAGGCTTAGCTACTAGATGCCTGCTTACATGTAGAATTTACACAGAACTCCTCTAATCTTTAGCTGTATATAGGCAGAAAAAACTTGTATCTTCTATTTCTACAGCTTCCTTATCACTGAGAGGGGTTAGACATATAGCTACTGAAACACACAGGGGAGAAGAAAGGAAGATAATTCCCATTCTTCTGCTCTTTAAATTCTTTCCTTCTGATCATGATCTCTACTACATGCACTTCTTGCGGCTCATAGTCTCCTCAGTTATCATAATATTTAAGAACGTCAGTGTTGATCACAAGATTCTTAAATAGTAGCTTTGAAAATGAATACATGCTTTGAGATCTTACTTTGGTACTACAAATTAAAACACAGAGAAATTGTCAATCTTGGGAGTCAGAAATACAGCCTGGGTTGTTCATGTTTAGATGAAAACCAACACAGTCAAAGACAGCATAAGCATTTTCACATCTTATGGGAGACTCCTACAGATATCAAGAGAAGTATTACTAGAAGCTAGACATTAGTCGTTATTGAGTTACTATGTTATGTGCACCTTGAATGGCTAAATTTATAATCTAGTCTTCATAACCATTCATATCACCCTAAAAATAAAAATCAGCTGAAGATTACTCATACTGGTTGAGCATAAATAATTAAATATATGCCAACAATATTTTCAAAATTAATTTGATTATTAATCTTCAAAGTAAAACACTAAAGATTAACAGTGCTGTATAGTTTACTCATGAACTAGGAGGTGAGGCAAATTTACCTTCCACAATAAGTAAAGCAAAGTAAAAACACACTATCTAAGACTCTGTTTCATAATGCATGAAACCTCATCAATTGGAAGCATTGCTTCATAAATATTTATTTGCTTATTAATTATGGTTTGGGTTCTAGTAGCCAGTCCAACATGAACACAGCTCTACCATTATCCCATTACGCACTTATATTTGAAGATCATGCCAGATGGAAAGTTGGCTGAACCTAATCATACATGCTCCAGCCAAACAGAACAATATGCAGAACCTGGAATTTAATATTATATGCTCATTTTCCATTGACCACTGAAGACTTCAACTTTAAATAGCATGAACCGACAGCATTTAAGCATTTCAGCTTCTCATTTTCCAGCTTGTGCTAACCATTTGTGGTGCAGACAAACAGAATCACAGCAGGAGCGACTGAGTCAGCAAGGAAACAATTACACAGCAAAGAATTGTCTGGGATACCACAGGATGACAGATTTCACCCAACATAATCAAAGGCAAAGTATCTTTTACACAGAACATCTGGTAAAGCAGTAACAACTTGTTTCCAAGTTTTTTGTTCAAATTTTCGTCTAGCGATTTTTGGTTAGAAACGCCCAGTAACCTACCCTATTACAGCTTTGAAATAATGCCTTTGAAAAACTACAAAATAAGTCTCCTTATAGCTGTAAGCCTCCTTTAAATGCTATAGCTTGACATTTCTGCATGACATTTATTAATGCAACAAATTGAAATCTCTATTTCTACAGAACTTCTTAGACAAATTGCAGTAAAATTAGACACATACTTCAAGAGGGACAAAACAGTAAAATTAATTAGATGAATCAGCAAAGTTGCTTTGGCATGTTGGAAATAAACAGTTTCTTACAATATTTCATCCATACTATTTTAAAATATTATTTATGATCCCTAGCAGAGCTTTATTTGGGATCTTCTTGTATTAACTTGATGATTTTCTTTTCAAAATTGTATGCTCATAGCATAGTAATTTCGAAATTATGTTGCCACAACATGACTGAATAGAACCATTTAGGTATGGGGATTTTGGCCCAAACCACAGCCATAAGGTGTATGCCATTGCTCACTCTCTAAATATAATTAATTCTCACTCTGAGAGGGGACTGAACTTTACACTATTCCAAGAGAGCAGTGAATTTTCATTAAAGTAAATATGTAAAGTTTTTTTCTCTGCTCAAAGTTTCTGAAACTAAATAATTTTTTTAGAAACTGATAGTTCAGCAAAAGGTTGAGCAAGCCCAGAGTACTACCAGAGCGTCGCTGCAAATGCATCCATAGCTGTACTCCAAGTTTGCATATTTAATTAGCACAATTGCAAACGCTTCGGTGCAGCAAGGACCTGGCCCTCCATCGCACTTGAACAATATTTAAGGCCTATCATGACAAATAAATTAAAACAAAACTTAACATTTTGTGTAACTGAGGGTGTCTAAAACATAACGAGGAAGAAACTGTTTATCCACTTTGTACTTCTCAATAACGAAGTTGTACTGAATTCAGTACATTAACAGATTCTTAATATAGTACACAATACTATACAATCACAAAATGGACAACCCTGTCGAAGTCCTCCATAATGATGTAAACTATGTTTTTCAAGTGCTTCCTAATTTTTTCTTTCTTTTAAAATAGAAGTCAGACAATGTATGAGTATCAAAGTCATAGGAAAGGAGTGCTATCAAATATATATTCAGAACTCTAGTGACTGTTAATGCTTTCCACATCAATGTAAGCTACTACTAAGTTCACCTTATGTAACGGAGATTACACGACACAATAACGCAGAATCAAACCTTTACTTCTCACCTGACATACAAAATTTACTGTGTTCTGCAGGCCTCTTGTAGCCTGGCTACAGCAATAGTAAGCACATATTGTTAAAAATAAAGAAAAACCTGTGGAAGCAATTTATAGGTCAGTTGGAAGATATTCTGTTTCTTTTCATCAAAACATGGAGACTTAACATTAGTAGCACGTTTCTTACATCAGATTTTTCATAAGATGCAAAGGTACTTTAGTGATTTATTGGATGACTCTCATAGTAATAAAATTAATATAAGCAAAAGGATTACAGCATGTTTGTTAACAGCAAATAGTCTATACTGAGCCCAGAATATAACTCTACTACAACCACTACAATTATTTACCATATCTATTTTATATAGCTTCAGTTTCTCATATAACCTTTTTTTTTAAAAAAAAATACATAAATTTGTGGTAAGCAGGAATTTAATTTTCCCTGCCAAGCATGACCCACAAAGCAACAATCTTCTCAAACTAAGATGCTATATTTTCCTAAGCATAGTTTCCCTCTGCAGACCCCTTAAGAACTTTTCTTTCTTGCCATGTCATTAACTGCACTCTGGTCCAACACTGGGTTCCTAATTCTGCAGGGAAACACTGAGGTGAACCAAAACCAAAAGGAAATTAATTTCACTTCGCTAACCAGAATTCTGTGAGCAGTGACAAATGGTTTAGAAATCATGTTCCTTTCTCAGTTCTGCAAACCTTAGATCTGCAAAACCCCTATCCTTGTGTTCTCATTATATAGGAGTGGCAAACATAACCTACTCTCTGATTATGGATAGAGAGACACAAAGTGACTTTTGAATATATTTTATCTGGAAGAGCACCAAATTGTTCACCAGCAGAACTGACCAGCATTATGGGAAAAAAGTATGAAATTAAATTATGGAAATTGTAACTGGAACATACCATTCTCAAACTACTTCAAAGTAAGGAATTAATGCCTTGAACAGACAACTCAGCCTAAGTCAAAGCTCCTCGGGTTTGTGAAAGAGCAATAAAATTCTCACAAGCAGCTTTTTCTTCCCTATAACATTCAAAGGCTTAAACTCTGAATTGAACCACTGCAAAAGATATCCCAGAAAGGAAAAAAATCCCTAAGCCACAAGAAGGATCTGCTGTTCTAATTTAGTATGCTACTGCTTCAGAAAGCTTGCGACCATAATTACTGAAGGAGATAAATAATTCCTGTATGAAAATCTGAACAATTCACAATATGCACCTAAAATACAATGAAGACCGCTTAAAATACAATATGGCAAAAAAACCTTGAGTTTGGTCTGATACTTTAAAAAACACACTTTTACAAAACAAACAGAGAAAAAATATTGACTGTAAACAAGCAAAAAGCAAAATTTCTTTAGAAGACTGTTGTCTGTGTGCTGGATTTTTCAAACAGGACAAAACAGACTGAAACACAGGCACAGCTGTGATTGCACTTGTTGTCTACTTACAAACAGATGCACCAGTTCTGTATTGCTGGAATAACTATTTTTGAAACTTTAGCTGTTAAAATCAAGACATTTCTGTGCATTGCAAGCATAAGGAATACTTTCAAACATGAAAATAAAATTGTCCAATGTCGGTGCCCCAATATAGGCAGAAGAATTCACAGTTGCTGCTCCAACTTTATGCTCTAAGTTTCTGAGAAACAACTAAGACAAAACCCGAGAATTTTAGCATTTTCCTCAGTAAAGCTATCTAAATAAGACAGAGACCTGTCAGTGATCATCCTATATTGCCTGACCACTGCATTCATCCATCACAGGCTTCTTTCTAGACAAGCTGTCTGGCTAGTTGAGAGAGAAAAGCCTGAGTCTTGCCCTCTAGCAACGATCAATACAAGAAGGCTGGAGTGTTCAGCAAAGGTTCACTGAGAGGAAGAGTGACAAACATGACCAGACTCTATTACAGAACTTGTTTTCTTTTTGAAGAAACATAGATTCCATCTCACTTCTGTAGATTAAAAGTAAATGCTATTCAGCTTAATCTCTGGAGCAGAAGAAAATACTTCAGCCATGAATACTGCAAATACTGCAGTGTTTGATCAGTTTAAGCCAAACGTATGGGTATTTGAGTAAGCAGCTTTATTCTTTTCTTTTTTCCTTTGTATTTAATACAGGCATTCTCCTTGAAGACATGTATTGGAACTCCAAATTCCCTAACTTCCAGAGCAAGCACTTACATTTTTCTTTGGTACAGTTTTATATTTATTTTTGTTCTCCAGCTCCATTTCTTACAAGCAGAAAAACCTCAAAGGATTGGATGAGAGCAACATTTCAAAGAACTGCAAAGTGTGGAATAACCAACTATACTTTATTTTTCAAGATCTACTAGCTTAGAACTGGAGTTTGCAAACAAGTTATTTTCAGGGCAATGAGGGACAAAGTATCAGATCCTTTGGCCAAGAACATGGCTTCTCCAAAGTTGACATCTGATCTGGGGGAAACATAATGCTGGACACATCCCTGAGTCACTCTAAGTGCCTGTTATGAATTTCATGTATCAGCATGTACCAATTTGGAAATTCTAGGCAAATGCACAGCCCTTTTTAAGCTACACGGGGAAGCAGCCATTTACAGCCATGGATATTTCAGATCACCACAGGTTGCAAGAGAACAAAGCCAAAGCGTACAGAACAAGATCCTTCTTTGGAATTCTGCTCACCAAAGGCATACCCCAACTTACAACCCCATACCTTCATTTCATCTTACCACGCTCCTGAGTTTCAAAAACTCCTGGAAGTCCAGGCCCTGGCACTGACTATGCTCTTATTAGTAAAAAGTAGCTGTTTGGGGCTGAGCTGTCAGTAACAGCCTGTGAGAAGGCATTGTTGTGGTTTAAGCCCAGCAGCAATATGCACCACACAGCTGCTCACTCACTCCCCTCCTGCCCCTGCAGGGATGGGGGAGAGTTGGAAGGGTAAAAGTGAAAAAGAAACTTGTGGGTTGAGATAAAAACAGCTTAATGATTCCAAAATAATCATAAAAATTTAAAAATTGTAAGGAAAAGAGGGGGAAAAAGAATAACAAAGAGAAAGGAAAATAAAACCCAAGAGAGACAAGTGATACAAATGAAAACAATTGCTCACTGTCAATCAACTGATGCCCAGAGAGCCCCTGAGCAGCAGCGCCCCCGCCAACCTCTCCCCAGTTTTATTGCTAAGCATGATGTCATATGGTATGGAATATCCCTTTGGTCAGTTGGGGTCAGTTGTCCCAGCTGTGTCCGCTCCCAACTTCTTGCACACCCCCAGCCTACTCGCTGGTGGGGCAGAGTGAGGAGCAGAAAAGTCCTTGATGCTGTGTAAGCACTGGTCAGCAGTAACTAAAACTTCTCTGCATTGTCAAGGCTATTTTCAGCACAAATCCAAAGCAGTTTCATACCAGCTACTATGAAGAAATTTAACTCTATCCGAGCCAAAACCAGTATGGGTATCCACACTACAATTCAAGGAATAATCAGTAGGGAGAGACTGAGCAAGAATAAGGAGCTAGTCCACTGCCATCCTCACTCAGAAAAGATTTACCACATGTAAGTCATGCACATACAAAAGTGGTTCACATAACATTGGGTATATCCACTTTAGGTATATCCTTTTTGGTATTCCTTCTACTCATCAAGCAAAACTAAAATCAGATTAGAGAGACCCAGTCTAATTTATCAAACAGATAAATCATATTTTATAGTCATATATAAAGTCTTCAGTTAAATATAAAAATCATATCTACAGCTTGACACTAAAAGCAATCCGAACTTGTGTGGTGGAAATTCATTTATAAAGTTGACTTTGCTTATAGAAAAATTATGTTCTATCAAGAAATATGAACTACTTCCACTGAATATTCCTTTCTGAAACAACTTAAATAGTTTATTTAAAGAATATAGCACAAATAACTGAAATGGATTGAAATTTATTTGCAATACCAAAGAATTAGGTCTCCTTTTTAAAGTACATTGACAATCCCTTGAAAAAAAAGTGGTTTCCAAAAATGGTTTAGCACTCCAGCCACATCACAGATTACCATTACCATAACTCCAGAAGAAAACCTGTAATTTACATGCCGTTTCTGAGGGTAAGGTAAAGAAGGGATGAAAAAGAAAGAAATCAATCGCTAGAAGAAGAAAGTCAACTGAACTGCTACACTACTACCCAATTGGTTTCAATAAGTGTTTGGCTTTTACAAAGAAATCGACATAACCAATGCCATGAATCAAAGTATTAAATAATTAATTCAATCATGCTTTGTTGAAGTGAAACAACTGCTCCATGCTACTTACCCTTTATTAACTGCTTATAGAATTGAGGCTCAATGGCACCAACAGCCATGAATTTTCCATCTGAGGTCTTGTAGGTTTCATAAAAGGGCGCACCACTGTCTAGCAGGTTCTCACCTCGAGGTCTGTTCCAAAGTCCCAAATTTTGTGATTTCCACAGGAAAGAACTTAGGTATGCTACTCCGTCTACCTTGAAGATTTACAGGAAAAAGTAACACCTTCAGTACATTAGTTGGCATGTTACTTTAATTCTACTTTTTAAAAAAATGGCAAAAAACTATTACCAGTTCTGTCCTTTGTTAAGATTTTTAATGACAAAATCTCTGGTAAGCCGTTTGATTTCCTAAAATTTTCAATTACTGTTTATATTGCATATGTGAAATAATCTAGAATTAGAGAATAAGGAGGAGCATAAATGTAATAATGCAGCTTCAGCTGGATAACGCACTTTCAACACACAAAGTTTCCTTGTTTAGCAAGTTTATCATCATTAGGAGTTCACAAAAAGAATGTAAGTGAAATACTAGGGCCTGAACAGTGAGGCCCTGAACAAAAGTTGACCTCTAGATGAACCTCACAACCTGACAATATATCTGATATGTATAATATTGATCACGTATGTAGTGTATTACTTTATGAATATATGCCAATTTATAAAAGCTTTTGTTGTAACGCTTATAAAGCATTGCTGTAACGCTTGCTATATGATAATGTGTAACAGTAGCCCCACTTGTCAAAAAGAGATAAACCTATCTCAAAGCAACAAACAGACCTCTAGGTAAAAGAATGTAGCAGGGTGGTGATGGGCTTTGTTGAGAGATACATAATCAAAGATAACCAGATAGCTTTACGTCTTCTTAACTGCTTTTCGGGTTCTAGACAAATGCGGGAAAAAGTGAACAAGGAAAAAAAAAACTACACCAGACGTTTTTTTGCAGCTTAAGATAGAAAATTGTTTATTTAACTGTATAAAAGCAGGGACTGTTTGCAGGGAAATTTGGAAGCCTCATCTAGACAGTGGACACATTGTATGGAGATTTCCCAATTGCCCAGAAGGGTTCTCCAAATCCTCGCTGCAACCACGCTCCCCAGCAACTGCAGATCTGGATGATGGTAACGTTGATGATGGTAATCGACAGGGCAATTGGTGATGTACCTTTCTTAATCACTATGATTAGGTGCATTACCTTACTTTCTGCTTGCTATAGTAGTTCGCTTATTATTTTGCTGCTTTACCTTATCTTGCTTTAATTAATTTTCACTGTATTATTTTCCTCTTTATTTTATCACTTTACACATAAGTAAAAATAAGTTTACTTTTTTTAAAATTTGGTGCCTACGTCCTTTGTGCTAACCCCATAGACTGGCAAAGCAGTAAGTAACTTTAGGTGATTGGACAAGCTTCTTGGATCTATAGAACATGATATATCTGACAGTGATCATGCCTTCTACACCTCTGGAAATCAAGATTACCAGTCCTGTAAGTATCAGCATTTTTATCTCAACATTAACTTCTTTGAATTTAATGATTATGAGAAGACTGCTATTTTTAGAAGAAAACTGGAAGGGAATCAAAGGTTAAAGCTTTCTCATATCATTGGAACTGGGAAGTTCAGCTCCATCCCTAAATTAAAACAAAAATTACTCTCCCGCTCTCATCACTGGCAGATACACAGACATAGCAAGGTAATCTCTAAACAGGCAAGTGTTTGCTGAATACAGCACTAGAAAACATTATTAACCTTGATTCCGCTTGCTGCTTAAAATCATGGCTTTGTGGAGTACAACCAGACGAAAATTCACTATTTTCAGCCTTTCAAGAATTACCAGGCTTGTTTTCCAAGCAAAATCACATCCTACAGTTTTGCTCACCAGCAGAATCCATTTCCTTACAACTGCATTAGAAAAACTCTCAGAGAAGATGAGACAGTAACATTATATGGCCAGAAACATTCCAGTGGAACAGATGAAAAGCTAGCTGTATAATTTTGATCATAATTTTGATTCATACTTTTTCAGCTGTGTAAAATTAACCTAATATTGTCTGTAGAGAAAAACATAGAAATTTTACGAAAATAAAAAGCCACTGGATTTTCTTGTGGAAAGATCTATTATTTGCTACCTTTCTAAGCAAGAATTTAAAGCATGCAAGTGTTTGAAGTATGCAGTCATGAAGGCTTCTTCATTTAATGTGTATTATTTGGTCTCTTTCTCAAATACCAGCCACAAAGACAGGAATACTTCTGCCCTACTTGTCATATGTTAAAGTCAATTAAGTACTTTCATATGAGAATATACTGTATACCTTCATCTACATGTTTGCAAAATGATTGCAAGGATATCAAGATAGTGTTTGCTTTACTAATGATCTGATCTTGCACAGCTCATATTAACAAAAAAAATACACAAAAAACATTAAAGTAAGGCTAATAATAGATGGGGATAATATCAGAATAAGCTCTAACTGCAAATTAGATTTTGGTGCTGATGGAACTACTTACAATACCTACATACAGTGCTACTTACCCTGGAAACACTTAAAATAAAATAGCACATCTGTTTTGGGCTGGTATAGGGACTTTACAAATAACCCTGGCTGGGCAACTGGACAGCTAGCTTCTACCTGAGGCATGCTGCAATTCAGAGACAAGTAAAAAGGTGTGTAACATCTGCACCAAACCTCCAAAGGCATGCTTACCACATACTAATTGTGGTAATTTTCTTTTAAAACATGAAGACAACACAGGGAAGACTCCACTTAAGCCTAATTGCAGAATTATGGTAACAGTTATGGGTCCTCATGCTAAAAGCATCAGCAGTCTCTGAAGCAGAGACAAGAATCCAGAGGCTCCACCCTTCTGGATGACCTGTCTGCTCTGACAGTCTTCTCTTCCTTCGGCAGAGTGAAACAGTTCAAACACAATGGAGAATGAATCCACACCAACCTAACCTTTATCCTCGTGACTGATGAATGCTTCCAGGATGTGGGAAGTTTTGGTCTGGAATACCTCCAGGCTGAGAAAAACCTGGAACCTCAGTCTTCTGTCAGACAGCTAAATGCCCTTGCCATGAGACGATTATGCAAGTGATCTTTACCACCATCCTCTCCTGTGGCTGTCTTTCCACAAAGAGTGAGTCACGCTTGGTCAGATGCCTATCATCAGCAGAAGGCTGTGTCTGAATCTGGAGCAAACTTCAAGCATGGCCCTGACTCACACGCCTCTATTCCAGTGTGGCACAAGAGTGCAGAGGTACAATTCTGCCTATCCTATCATACTACATCACAGTGTCCACTCCACATCCTACTCAGCACATGGGAGATATCAGGCCCACTGGAAGGTACCTATGATCCCTAGAGTCAATGAGAAAAGACAGCAACTAACATGAATCAATTCAGACCAGGCATTTAATTCTGAGGTAGACAGCTGAAACATAGGACCCAGTGCCTGCTTTTTATGCAGCGCAACAATAACACTGGACACTGTGAACAGGTGATGCAAATCTAGCCCGTGCCCTGATCCTGATAAATAACAAATTCTTCTGTCGTAAAAATTCAGATCTCAATCCAGAATTACTAACCTCAAAGACAGGAAACAGTTAATTTTTCAGATCACTTAGCAAAACAGACATTGTAATAAAAGGAAAAAACAAACAAGTAGTCAGTAAAACAATGTATGAAGACAAAAAGTTAATAAAAATAATCCTGAGGACACAAAGCTGCTAAAAAATAAATTAATTTTCCCTCTTCTACCACAGAAAATTCCACCATGTGTCAGAGTTGTTAACATATTCAGACTACCTAAACTGTACAACAAGTTAAATAATAGGCCTGTTACATAAAAAAAAAATGTTAAAATTAAATTACAGCTGAAATGCCGTGGTATTGTGATTTTAAAAATATCTAATTCCATGAAACAAACTTAAACATAAAAACAGGCCCATCAACCCAGTCTATTTAACTGTCTTTGCTGTTGATGATGCATGTATGTTTTTCATCAGCTGTCTAAAAAGTCCGTTCAAGTGAAAGGAACATAACAAAATGCTAGGTAAAGTACATCGAGTGACACTGGACAATATTCCATTCATTTCACAGAACGCCAGCAATATCAGCAGGGAACCGTAAATTCCGCCATTATAATGTGACAAGATAAAATTGAAAGAAGGAAGTTTTGAGGGCTTAAAAAAACCCCACAAAAAAACACAACACATTCTGTTCCCAATGAGCCAGAGATCTCATTAGGACATTAACAGACTAACATACATTAACAAGTTTTTTTAATGAATTCAATACCGATAGTGAAAATAAGGTAATACTTCAAACTACAAGAAGTATCTTTTTAAATATTTAAAGACTTGTCACAATTCTCCACAATTTTTTCTTCACAAATATAGAAACTGCTTCTATTTTCCTTTGTAGGTCATGTTGTTAAACTCATAATTTTTGTTGTGTTTCTCAGACTTCCTCAAATTAGGTTGGTTTTTTTTTGAAAGATGATGGCCAGCATCAGAAACAGTATTTTCCTGAGGCCTTATAAATGTTGAATAGACTAGCAGGGTTACTTAAGAAACTTTGCTGGCTCTATTTCCTGTTTATACATCCTCATACAGTGTGTATGTGTTTTACAACAACATGATATTGTTGACTCGTGTTCAGCTTGTGACCACTACAAACCTCCAGGATTGTACTTTAGCCAATTGTTCTCATATCACATTTGTGCAGCTAATTGTTTCTGCATAAGAGAACTACAGAGCAGTGGTCTACATGAACTTCAGCCAATTTTTTTCAGGTCATTTCTCCAATATGCAAAGGTCATTTTCAATTCTAATCCAGATGTCCAACATACTTGTAGTTCTTCTCACATGCCTATCATCTGTAAATTAACTAAACACAATCATCCACCATTCAGTTTATTGGAGACAACACTGAAATAAACCAAGAGACGCCTCTGGAACTCCCATTGGTAAGTTTTCCATTTTGACAATCAACTACTAATAATTATTGTTGGGGTAAAAACATTACACCAGTTTTGCATTATCTCATAGAATTTTCATCTAGACCATAATGCTGTGGGCTGCTTCTGAGAATGTTATGCTAACTTGTCAAAAACTTACTCACGTCTAGATAGCTAACATCTCTTGCTATTCTCTTATCTTCGAGCCCTGTTCAGCAAAGGGATTTTTTTCCATTAATATATTTTTTTTCAATTTATATTTAAGTCCAAATCATAGCTTTCACTGCACCACACCACCTCAAAGGGAGGTCAAATTTTATTTGCAATGCTCTCTAAAAACAAAATCAGAAAGAGACAGAGAGAGAAAAAGCACTTGCAGATAATACAGTTTTCAAAGATAAATGTAAACACATATTTTCCCTCTGTGTGTAAGTGGTGGCCTTGCAGAGAAAAAATCCATAGTATTCATTATTAACCTAATTTAGCCTTTCATTTATTTTACAGCACCTTAAAGCAAAGTGTTTCAAACTGACTTCTCAGCAATAATCCATGGCAGTGTGATTATTCAAGGGAACAGTGCTTCTAATAAGACATGACCTGCCACAAATTCATAAGTAAATGTATCTCGGATAAAGCTAATGTATATCTTTATTTCATTAGGATCATCATTTCTGCTGCTATGCTTGATGTTAATTGTTTATTATACACCCTATTTCCATACACCAAACTTACTCATCCAATATATACAGCTAATAGTTTTTGAAGAATGCAGATTGGTAAAAGAAAAGATAGGGAATGGCACAGGAGGAAAGCTGCAGTATGTGTCCCATGTCATGCCGATGTTATGGCAATAATGATATGTGACAACTGCTTGCAGGTGGAGGAACAGCCATTTTATGAGATTACTTACTTTCCCTTTCCCAAGTTCTCAATTTTTAACCTTATGAACTCCAACTTCCTCCCTTTTAAAGACTTAAGTAGGAAAAAACCCAAACAACCAAATCTAAGACACCCCGCCTTTCTTGAGACCAAACTTACCATACTTGCATCAATGACCTGCCCTTTGCCAGATCTCGTACGCTCATACAGGGCTGTAACAATGCCCACCGCACACATGACACCTCCACCAGCAAAATCAGCCAGAAGATTTAGGGGTGCATAAGGATTTTCATCTTTCCTACCCAGCTTTGACAGCACACCTGACAGTAGAGCAAACAAAGCAAACGTAAGTATAAAATTAATGCTAAACACTCATTTCTGCATTTCCACAATTAAAAGTTTCATTTTCTTCAATCTATGCAAGTAAACAAGGGATAAAGAAACTTCTAACAACAGACTTCTGTCTCTATTTGGCTGTGTCTTAGCAAATAGTTACTCTTTAATTCACAAAGTCTAGAATATCTGAAACCATTAGCAAAGATGCATTTAAGAGATTAATCAAAGTCTCACAAATAAACTATTGATAATTTGGCTAGAGAGGGACAAAATTTTATTTAAAAAAACTTGCATGCAATTATTCAATATTAGTACTTTATACACACATAGCACCTCCCCCATAAGAATTGAATAGGCATTATTATTAAAATCTCTCAAAGCAACTCTGGGAAATTTTTCTTCTCTGAATCTTTTAAAGTAAAAATGCAGATGTACAGTCTTCTGTGCACGTAACCCGTGAATTAATAATAACAAAGGATTTCACATCAACAACCGCACTTCGGTCCTATCCTCTCTCTTCAGCTACCTTTGGGGGGGAAAAAAAAAGTTGCATATAAGAGAAATGGGTGAATAACACAGAAAGGTTACCTCACTGCATGCAACACAGACACAGGGAACCTATGTTTATGCCAGAAATCATGCCGAAACAAGTGGGAACAGAGCAAAGACTAAGCCAGTTGAATTCAAACAGAGCTCTGAATCTGTTAGCATTTCTCTGCCATCCAGAAACTCCTTACTGTCATCTTACTCTCTGCAGTACCCTCATAGTGATTCCCTTACGGCAAGCAAGAAACTCCACAGTACGATCACATCCCTCCTATGTCTGTAGCCTGAGGTCTGAGACTTACAGCATACATGATCAAAATTTCCTGAGATCTGCATGATTCTGATGCGCTGTTTAGTTACTTACCGGTACAATGCACATCCCAAGTGCAAACAACTGAAGTGCCGTGCGTATAAAGAAGTATTATTATTATTAAGAAGTTTCCAAAGCCTGCAGTGCAGTGCAAGCGTAAAGCCCAGTTGCTGATTAAAACCTCACTTTTTAACAGTCTAAATGTCATCACAGGCACCAGCAGATTAACATATTAACTTATGTATGCAAGCTATTTTGTAGTTAGAGAAAGCTGATCTTTGAGGAATGATGCCTCCCAAACACCTTGGCCTATTTCCTTTAAATAGGCAGAAGAACTTGACCTGTGAAATTTCAAGCAAAATTATTTAATTTTAGGAAGATAGCACTAACTAAAATATTACTGATTAAATCAGCTCCAGAGGAAAAAACACTTCTTTTTGTAAAGAGAAAGCAAACGGTAAAAAGAAAAGGCAGCAACAGACTATAGTTTCTGTGTTGACTCCCTAATAAATAAAAATATCATAACACTTTGAAATCATCTGGACATGAAGTCAAAAGTTTTTTAGATGAGTCACCCTTTCTTTACTCTTTTTTATTGTCTGACAATTTTACATAATGAGAGAAGACTGAACCAGTCCCTGATGAAAATTAATTCCACAACACACTCCCCACCATAGGTGATACTGGTCACCACATTTGCCATTCCTCTGCTCTGGCACTATTATTTGTTACTGCATACTTGTAGAATCATGACACTTAAAAACATCATACTGTCTACAACACCTTGAGGAAACATAGGACTGCCACTTTATTTTAAGCCTACTTTCTTTTCGGTCAGTATCAATGGAGAGATATTTACAGCTGAAAAGCACAAGAGAATGCCCAAATGGCTTTGGCTGCCTAGTTTTTCTTCACTCAAGAGAAAAAAAGCTGCTCAACAACACGCAGCCTTTTTGGTGTTCTAAGCATACACCCTTTCTACGAGAGAAGCCCTGAAGAAAGACAAAAATGCATAAAAGCTTCAGTCCTCTCTTCAGAGAATGACTTGATTCAGATAAAATAGCACAAAGGAAGGAAAACACTGTACAGCCTGAGAAGATGTGCTGATCCAGCCCAACAGCTCACTGCTGCTGCCAAGATGAACTGCCTGTCCAGCCCGTTTCGTCCTTTCTTGTGCTATTTGTGTTTGTTGGACCCCTTAACGAACTGCTTCACCTCAATAACCTGGCAGAAAAACATCTTCACTTCTCCTGGCCAGTTCTTAACTTGTGATGGAGCTTACAAAGGGGTTAAGCAAGTGCCAGAGCCGACTGGAGAGAAAGGAGCAGGCAGAAGAACACTGAAGGAGAAGGAAACCCTCTTTTCATTGACAGAGACGCTTCGGATCTGCTCGGCTGTTTCATCAGACTGCACCTCAGGTAATTTGAGCTACCTGCAAATAACCTTTCAATAAACTCTTGCATCTTGATTTAAAGGGAGGAAAAGCTTATTTGACAGGAAATTTTACAGCCCACCTGATAAAGCCAAATAATTGATGTCATGACCTGCAGACTTGGCATATTTTCCTGTCTGGCCAAATCCAGTCAGTCTAGCATAGATGAGTCTGGGATTCTCCTGCAGAAGGACCTCTGGACCAAGCCCAAGTTTTTCCATGACACCTTAAAAAGACAAAAGGACAAAAAGACAAAGGCATTCTAATTCACGTTTATTTTTATTAAGACTCAAAATATACATGGTTCAAAGTTAAATTATACAACAACAGAACTGAATTGCAACTTATGAAGTAATGTATTCTCATTCAGTATCCATATTACAATGTGAAAATCCAGAATGTTATAAATTACCAACATAACTGCATACATTTTGAATATCAGCCAACTAACTGGAAATTAAGCTTTAGGGTCCTTTTTTTCCAGCTTTTTTTACTGTTTTGCTTCCCCAAAAGACTGCCTGATGGCCTTGCTCTAATCCATGTATTGCTGAATGAGGAAGCTACCAGTCTTGTTTAAAAAAAAAAAAAAAAAAGTGAAAGAGCAAACTCTTGTACAATTTTCCACACTAAAATGACCTGAAATTGCTTCTGTCTTCCACTAGAATATACTTTCCTCACTGCATTAGCCTCTCAGTACCTCCTGTGTTCCGCATGTGTTAACTCACTGATGTGAACGGCCAATGCCACTATTCCACAAATGATTTGCAACAACTGCACAAAATAAATTCTTTTGTAATGCAGAGAACAAGGAACTTTCAGAAATCAATGAAATGTACGTTTGGTCAGTATGGGTTTACTGTAATCAAGGCTAAAATTTAGATCTTGCAGTTCTAAAATACTGGTTTTAAAAGAGGCAAATTCAAGTTGCAAATATATTAGATTTTTATTGGCTCAGGGCAGCTTGGTCAAGCTACATACACCCTATAATCTACACTGGTACTGCAGGGAGGTGCGATTTGGAGGGGAAGGGATAACATAACTTCAGTGCTTATTCCACCCCAGAACGGAATTACTGCAACTTGTTTCCCAGACTAGTCCATATTACTAAATCTTCAAATTCCTTAAGATCCATTTGTATTGTATTACCTGCTGGGCAGCGGCAAGTGACTAACGCTAGGTAGAAAGCAGTGAAATTTGTGAAAGAGCGAGACTTTCAAAAGTAAGAACTGGGTGCCCAATAACCCCTGGTGTCACAAAGTCGCTGTCACAAAGTCAATGATATGTGTGTGTTTAAATAACCTTCCCTGCCGCTCGGGCCCTCATCTTCTCATGGGTTCACGGCCGCTTCATGCTGGATCAGATTTGCCTGGTTCGGTTACAGACCCATAAAACCTGATGTCCGGTTACAAAATCAATGAAAAATGGAATTCAATGTCTCAATTTCGTTTGCACAGCTTCTGAGGAACAAACCAAAAAATTATTGAGGTAAAAAAGCCACAATCACAAAGCCCTGTTCCTACAACGGCCAGCATCACCCGTGACACCGGACACCTGGGTCTGCACCGTGTGATGTTTCACCCACACAGCCTTCTGCTGCTGCACCGCCTGCGGAACCCCC